ACACACACACACACACACACACACACACACACACACACTTAATCCTTAGCCCTTTTCTTGTGTTCTTTTAGATTTTGAAAGGTTGAGAGGGATCCCCTTTTAGGGTTGCTGCCTTGTTGTTCATTATTTTTGGTTACTTAGCGCTGACTCATTTGTGTGTTTTTATGGACACAGACACACACAATGGTTATGTCAATATGTAAAATGATCCTATCTTTATACAAACAGACTATATGGCTGTCACTATATATAAATGAGCCTATCTTTATACATATAGAATGTGACCTTTATCGGCCATGGTGGATAAAGAGGGATGCCTTAGAGTTCTGCCACTTTGCGTCAGTAACATTGCTCCTGGAAATTGATGCATTCTGTGAGTTAGACATTACACCTTTCCTTTTCCAGCTTGAATAACTTTGATGTTACATCCCAGCTTTCGCTAAGAGACAGCGACTCCAGAGTGAGGCGCTCTACAGGTCATACCAAGTTTATGCAGTTATAACCGATTGCCATGTTATACCAAGTTTATGCATGTAAAGTTTAGTGGCATGATATTACAGATGGCACTGGCAAACTGTTTGTGGATATAGATGCATGTGGCAAGCTGTTTGGGTGTAAATATGTCACCAATACACTGTTTGGGGACAGAAATGGCATTGATAAGCTGGGTGGGAACAAAGCTTGCACTGTAAGGTTGTTTTGGGACAAAGATGGTACCGGTAACCTGTTTGATGGCAAAGATTGCTTTCATAAGTTGTTTGAGGCCAGAGATGAAAAGGTGGAGCTCAGGGGGGCGGGGCCTGGCTGCTGACTGAACAGGACGCAGGGTGAGGGAGCTCCTCAACCCTAAAGCATATATATGCTAAAAACACGACAATCTGCCCCACAATCTCACCCAACAAGGATATACCTTGATTCGGAAGCAAACAGGCAGCATTGGTGTGAAAACCCGATGGCAAAACGGTGGGGGTCATCCCGGTCCCCGCTGGGCCACATGCTAAGGTCCTCCCGGGTCACTGTGAGCTGCCCACATGACAAACAAAATGCCGTGCAGAGACACCCAAGATGGCGGATGCGCCTATGACTCAAACGTGGATGCAACATCCAGCCGACCTTACTGAAGCACTAGGTCAATTTGAAGCACGACTAGATGCAGCCTTCGGAAAATTCTGGGCCAACCTAATTGAGCTGATGAACCGAGTGCTTCCTGCGGCGCTGCCACGGGTGAGACAGCAGACACTAAATGAGAAGAGGCAAGTGAGACCCCCCCAAAGGCATACCGACCGCACTAAAGACACACCACGCTACATTACGCCTTCCTGGGCCTAGAGTCACCTGGGGAATACCCCCAAAGCACAGACCACGCATGCAGGAGGGAACAACGAGCCGAAGCCAACGTGGTACAGCTCCTGGTAACTTCCCGGCTGGGAACAACTTGGACTCAAAGAAGGCCCAAGTTTGTGGCAACAAGGTGCAGGCTCTGGAACAGGCCTGGGGCCTGGGGAGTACTTCGCTCTCGACCAACAGCGTGGCTTGCTGCAGGGGACATTGCACGTATGTAAGGCAGATGCCCAACCAGGGAATCGGCTAACTTCATGACTCTGGGAGATGGCTGCAGGCCAAGATCAGTCCCCAGACAGGGACTCTGACTCAAGACTGCTGACCCAGCGGTATCAAAGCGTATAAAAGCGTATATGTTTTATTTTATTTTAGGCTTGTTGCCATCTATGCTACCTATCTCTTAAATGCCATAACTAGTAGCCAACTAGCAAGCTAACGTATCAACAGTAAATACTCGAGACTTAAAAACAAAAAAATGTGCTGAAACTGCATGCCACAAAATGTTTAAAATGTGTACTTCTCTTTGCTTGCATCTGCTGTTGTGGCAGTACAAGCGTGTTTGTTTAACTATGCACTGGAAAAATATTAAATAAAAAAATAAAAAAAGAATGAAATTACATATGAATATATAATTTTAATAAAAATTTGTTTCAATAAAAAAAAGAAAAAGGGGCGTGGCCAGGAAGCCGGAGGACATGGTCGCATGAGCGGAGAGCTCCGGATCCCGACCGGGAGATAAAGGGGGTAAGGGACCCAATACACCCAGAATGGCAGCTAAAAAACAGCGTAACACAACAGGGCAAGCCCCAGCAGTCGACACCCCGGCAGCAAAAACCTCCCTGAGAAGGTACTTCGCCGAACAGGCTGACCCGCACAGACGGGACAAAATGGCGCCCGCAGCACAAACACGCGGGAGCCAGCCATCAAGCCCGACGGCATCAGAGGGTTCCACTGAGGATCAAGAAATCCGGACCCTGCTAACACAGCTGCCCTCAAAAGCAGACCTGGCAGCGATGTTCCAGAAACTGGAGGACAGCTTCAGTGGCAGCGGACGTGCAGCAGCTTGGAGCCAGAGTACAAGAACTAGAGGAGGAGGCAGAACACATCAACAAAAGAGGGGCTGAAGCCTATGACACCCAGGAAACACATGCAGAGGCAATAAGGTACCTACAAAGGAGGCTGGACGATGTAGACAACAGGGGACGCCGAAACAACCTACGGGTGAGGGGAATCCCCGAGAGCGCCGAGGGTGTAACAGAAAACCCCATTCAGGTTCTAACCACCCTCTTTAACCGCATCCTAACCAGACCTCAAGACACAGCCATCACCTTTGACAGGGCTCACAGGGCAGCTAGGCCCAGAAACCTCCCTCCAGATAAACCGCGAGACCTCATCTGTCGCATTCACAATTTTCCCTTAAAGGAAGAAATCTTCCGTAAAGCCCGCCAAAATAAAGATCTAACGATAGACGGCCAACCGGTAACGATCTTTCAAGACCTGGCTCCATCCACGTTACAAGCAAGACGAGCCTTGCGGCCTATCACACAGGCCTTGCTAGAGAGATAAATAAAGTTCAGATGGAACTTCCCGTTTGCACTGACAGTCAACCTCCAGAACAAAACCCACACTATTACCTCACCAGAGGACGTTCCTGACTTCCAGAGGGCACTCAAACTCCCACCGTCCGAAGTGGAAGACTGGACAGGGCTGGCAACCAACCCGTCAAGACAGGCCTCACAAAAGCCCAAATGGCAAAAATCCCCGAGGAAAAGGCGCAGGCAGAACCACCCCGGTACCAACCTAAGCGCTCCAACCAGAGAAGAACCAACCTGAGAACTGTCACGGTCGTATAAGCTTACACTCATGTTCCATATGTTTCACTTATGTATATATCTGCTATCCCTCTTTCCCTCTGTCGACACTATGCCAGATATGTTTACCTTAAAAGGCCATGCCAATGCAACTAAATACTCTCTACACTATGTAATCAATGTTACACTGCTATGCTATATTATGTTTTATTTAAAAATGTCATTAGTAGCCGCTACTGGGCTCTAGGGCCCTGCATTAGGATTTTAGTAACGTTATTCAACCTTTGGGCCTCAGGAGACCGGGTCCACGGGGGTTAAACCGAGGTTGCTCTCGCCGCATACCCCATAACCCCCCCGATAAGGTGGGTGAGGGGTAAGTGTATGACATCCATGATTGCCCCGCTGGAACCCCTGGATGCCCCCGGTCGGGAGATCCGACCACCACCCCCCAGAGAGGCGCCCCGACTCCACTTGTGGTCACGTAGAGCTACCCACAAGTGCAGCGCCAAGCTCACCACCTGAGATGAACCTCTCATCTCAACCCTATGTAAATAGTTTTTGTTTTTCCCCAGCTCCCCCCCCAGGTACCAACCCTGCCACCACAATACTACTAAGCACATCATTCACGGGTATGACCCTTGACTCATTAAATATGCTTCTACTGCTGGATCCACCACCATGATATATACAAAACTAATGTCCCTAAATGTACGGGGACTAAACTCACCTATGAAGCGCACGATGCTAGCACAAGAAATAGACAGACAGGGAGCCGAAATAATCTTCATACAGGAGACACACTTTAAGGGAGAGTTCAAACCAAAAATTCACTCCAAACGAAACAATATAGCCTATTATAGTAATAATACGCAAAAGAAAACCAGAGGGGTGGCAATATTACTAGCCTCCAATGCTGCGTTCACAGAAACGGGGGTTAAAACTGACCCTAGAGGCAGATTTGTATTTGTTAAAGGAGTATATAACGGTACCCTCATAACGCTAGCAAGCATATATGCCCCCAACGCTGACCAAGTATCCTACATACGGTCATGTTTGACTAAACTGGACGCATTTGCTGAGGGGGTAGTTTTAGTAGGCGGGGACTGGAATATGGTATTAGACCACGCATTAGATAGCTCCTCTCTATCCTCGGACCCTAAGCAACACCAAAGAACACTATTTTCGACTGCCTTACGTACTCACCAGCTCGTAGACTGCTGGCGTATACTACACCCCCAAGACAGAGACTACTCGTTTTATTCTCAGGCAGCCAAAAGCTACTCCAGAATAGACATGTTTTTACTTAGCCACAGACATCTCCCACTACTAAAAGACGCATCCATAGGCAATATCACGTGGTCTGACCACGCTCCAATTTTCCTGACGGTCACTCTCCAGAGAGAACGCAAACCCACGACACACTGGCAACTTAACGAAACCCTACTTGATGACCCCAGATTTCTAGACGACCTGCGACAGACGGCAGGAAACTATTTCTTAGAGAATGGGAATACTGAGGTATCAGACCCCTGGGTTTGGGAAGCCCATAAAGGAGTTATCAGAGGCACCCTTATCAAATGGGGCTCTAGAATCAAGAAAGAACGGACCCTCAAAATGGACTCTCTCATAGCAGACATACACTTAGCCGAGGCCACACACAAACAAGATCCCACGAATGATAACTTCCAGAAGCTAACAGCCCTACGCATAGAATTAAGATCGCTACTAACCGCAAAGGCATATAGATCCACTCAACTGACAAGGAGCACCTTTTATGCTCATGGTAACAAGAGTGGGAAACTACTAGCTAGAGCTTTGAAAGCCAAACGGCAGAGATCGTTCATAGACAAAATATCAGATGACACAGGTAGGCAACACAACACTACAGAAGATATAGCCAAGGCGTTCAACGCCTTCTACACAAACCTTTATAACCTACCCCCCCCCAAAACACAGAACCACAACCTGAGGGAATACATCTCGGCAAACCTGCCACGCAAGATCCCAGACGACCAAATACACACATTAGATGAACCATTCACACAAACGGAATTACTCGCCACGATTAAGGCACTGCCGAAAAGTAAAAGCCCCGGCCCAGACGGACTGACCGCCAGATACTATCAAACACTCTCGCAAGAACTATCCCCCCACTTTCTGAAAACATTAAATGGCCTAACCCAAGACACCCCCCTCCCACCCCCGATGCTACGGGCATCTATCACTATCATCCCCAAGCCGGGCAAAGACCCCACTAAATGTGGCAGTTATAGACCCATTTCACTAATAAATCTAGACCTCAAACTAATGGCAAAGATGATCGCCAACAGGCTTAAACCCCTCTTACCGCACCTAATCCACCCTGACCAAGCGGGCTTTGTGCCAGGCCGCGAAGCTAGGGATAATACCACGAAAATTCTAAATGTCATCCATGGAGCAACGGTGACTAAAACACCTACTCTGCTGATGGCTATTGACGCTGAAAAAGCCTTCGACAGGGTGGATTGGTCTTACAAACCCTGTATAGGGGACCCTCAGCCAGTGTTAGAGTAAACGGCCACCTATCGACGCCGTTTCAGATAAACAACGGTACTCGACAAGGCTGCCCCCTCTCGCCCCTGTTATTCGTCTTGGCCATGGAGCCTTTCCTGAACGCAATCAGGTCTCGCGCTGAAGTACGGGGATATAGATTTCAGGGAGGGGAGGTGAAGGTATCCGCCTTTGCGGACGATGTCCTATTCACGCTCACAGACCCGACCAAATCACTACCACACATAACAAACGAGATCGAAACCTTTGGTTCACTCTCGAACTTTAAGATAAATGCTGACAAATGCGAAATACTGGGAATAGCTATACCACCGTACCTGAAAACACGAATTCAACAAAGACATACCTTCCCATGGACTCGGACAGGACTGACATACTTGGGGATACTACTCACCGCATCACCCATGACCTTATACAAACTAAACTATCCCCCCCTTATAGACAAGATTAAACGAGACCTCCAAAAATGGGACCAACCTTACTTCTCCCTGATGGGACGAGTCAGCATCCTGAAAATGATGATTCTCCCGAAAATACTATACCTCTTTCAGGCCCTACCGGTCCCTCTCCCAGAGACATTCTTCAGACAGATGCGGACAATTTTCACCAAATACATCTGGGGCAACAAACCAGCAAGGATAGCTTTCACCACACTAACCTCCACCACAGACAGGGGGGGCCTGGGACTGCCACACTTATACAAATATTATGTTGCAGTTTTGCTCACCCGACTAAAGGAATGGACAGACACCAAAAGGAAAAAGTCGTGGTACACATTAGAACAGAGCTTTACACCTGTCCCCCTACACACCTTGCCGTGGCAAATCTGCAGCCTACCGAAACTCACCACGACACGACACCCACTCATACACAATGTCCTCACAATATGGAGAAGACATAAAGACCAATGGAGACTGTCACCGGGACTGTCAAGGTTCTTCCCCATAGCAGACAATCCTGATTTTCAGGGGGGTGGAGGGGGACCACTCCTTTCTCACCTTGTGGGAACGCCTACCCCGGACATAACCGAACTGATAGGGGGAGACCCACCCACGGTCAAGGCCATATATGGAGCACATAGACAAGACACATTCATTGAGGTGATAGGCAAAGCCCAACTCAGGAATTTCCTGAAAAGAACCGCTATTCCCCTCTGGAAACAGAGAGCAGACACGCCCTTTGAACACCTCTGTGGCCCAGAGGGAGACCCCAGACGCCCTTTATCTAAAGTCTACCGCATCCTCCAGAGCCCAATGGAGGAACACAAACCACTATCCTTTCAACAGAATTGGATGAAAGATCTCAGAATTCATATCTCTGACAAAGACTGGCCAGGGATCATGGAAATGGGAATCAAAACCCCAATCAGTGTAGCACACAGGGAGACATTCTATAAAAGAATCACCAGGTGGTACAGGACCCCAACCCGATTACACTCTATATGGCCATCAATCAGTAACATTTGCTGGAGATGCTCCACCGGGCCGGGAACTATAGAACATATTTGGTGGAGTTGCCGAGACATTCAGAGTTTCTGGCACCTAATACTCGCCAAAATAACCAGGATACTTAAACCTCCGACCCGACTTACACCATCCCAAGTACTACTAAGCTGGCCCCGCACATTTACGGAACCCCACAAACAACAACTGCTACACCTATTACTTGGGGAAGCAAACGCCCTTATCCCGCTAAACTGGCGGAATACCAACA